ATGCCACCCATGGCAATAATTTTCACATTTTGGGCCACTTCCTGGTGATGGGCCACTTGTAGATCACCCTGCTTTCCAAAGAACTTTAAGGAAAAAGCTCAAGATCAATTGAATGGAAGGAAATCATGTGCCAACCTGCAAAGTACACATACTTGGAGATCTGTTTTGAGAAGATCAGAAGCAACTGCCTACAAACTGGACATGTCATGAGGAGATTATGTGGTAAAGATATGGCGGAGATGCTTCATAAAATTAGCTCACTACACTTCTGTCCTGCTGATCAGGTGGAAACAAACAATATAAAAACTATATGAATAGTATTTCTTTTGGATGTTAGAACACCGGCACAAAAAAATAATGCAGTGATTCTGTTAACTGTAATCTTAGGGGAGCTCTCATTTTGTGGGCTGTAGAATCCAACAGAAATAAAAATCCGGGGCAGGAAGAAGAAATATATCATAGTACTAGAAAGAGTGTGTTTAGCAGATCATGCAACCTTTAACAAGAGATGTTGACAACAAAATCTTGATGAGGATGGGTGGCAAAAACTTTAGGGCTCAATAACAAAATATTAGAGACAAAAATATGCATGACAAAGAGAGTGGCAGGGAGGCCAAATGACCTTCAAGTAAATACAATAGGGAAATTAGGAAGATGCAATATTCATAGCCTCAAATACCTATATACTAATGCATGCAGGGGAAAAAAAACCCAGGATGAAATTAAGATCTGAAGTCCTAATGGAACATCTAATGTATTCTTGTCTTGCTGATATGAAATTTCTGAAGAAATGGATTATATTATTTTTTATACTAGATTTAATCCTGATCAATAAGAATGAATTCAATCAGCTTGAAACCTTTTGTTCTATGCTTTTCTGGCTCTAACAATCCTATGGACTGGATTCCATATTGTGCTAAATTATAATGCACTTGGGTTGGATTAGGATTAGTGTGTAACTGGTGTTTTAAGAATACTGGTTTTAAAAAGCTCAGAAAAAACGTTGGTTAGGAACTGTTGAAGGAAAAAAGAGCTCAAGAAAGAGGGACAAACTAGAAAACTGAAATACTTAAAAACTCCACAAATAGTTACACAAAATGTTAAGAAGAATGGTGGAGGTAATCTAAAACCCAATGTAGCTGTTTTAATGAGATACTGTAAGCTGTGACATGTATGAGACATGGAAGAAAGGACATATAATCAAAGGAGTAAATAGTATAGATCAAATGTACAGGAATGATATCAGAAAGACTAAGGCCTCAGATATGCAAAACATCAATATAACTTCCATTTTCAAGAGATTGAAGAATGAAAAATAATAATACACCCAACCCCAATGGATTCTGGGTGGTATACAGAACTCCCCAAATTTCATAAACAAAACCCTAAAAATAGCCTAAACTAAAACAATCTACAAACACCAGAAATAAAAAAAACCCAACATCCATCAGAATAGAACAATACACTTACGACCACAATTGAGCCCTAAAGTTCTTTTACTAATCAAGACAGTTAAGTGAATTTTGCCCCCTTTTACGACCTTTCTTGCCATAGCTGTTAAGTGAATCACTGCAGTTGTTACGGTAAGTTAGTAACACAGTTGTTAAGTGAATCAGGCTTTCCCATTGACATTGCCTGTCAGAAGGCTGCAAAAGGTGATCATATGACCACAGGATACTGCAGCTGTCATAAATATGAGTCAGTTACCAAGTGCCTGAATTTTGATTACATGACCATGGGGATGCTGTAATGGTCGTAAGTGTGGGAAATGTTCATAAATCAGCTTTTTCAGTGCCATTGTAACTTTAAGTGGTCACTAAATGAAATATAAGTTGAAGTCTGTCTGTACATTAACCTCAGGCCTAGGACCAAAGCCAGATCTTGAGAACTTTTCAGAACCCCAAGGAGAGAGGCTGGATCTTTATCTTGGGATGGGGGGCAACAACAGAGAAGGCACACTTTCTTAGTCCTGCAAGATGACAATGTTTAATAGTGGGGGCCTGAGGTGCACATAGTGTGGGGAACGTATCTGCAGTGAGAATTGATTGGAGACAGGCAGTCCTTGAGATATCCAGGCCCAATGTCATATAGAGTAATAGTAAACACCTTACATCACATTCGGAAATCGACTAGCAAACAATGCATCTTGAGTAACAGTGGTGACATATAAGCATAACAACATTACTATACTGTTTACACTGCACTACTGCATTACAAGACAGTTGCATCTTTCCCTTGACAGTTAAGGCCACTGTGCATACTTAAGGCAATGGCCATCATTTAAAGTTATATAAATAAATAAAATAGTGGGAGAAATTAGAACTAGATTAAGAAGACACCTGAAATGAAGTTTTCCTCAGTCTGCTTCATTAAAAACAACCATTCAAAATTCCATCCATTTTAGGAAACTTCTCCTTACATTTGCTGAAATACTTAGATGTTTATTTTTTACCAGACTTGAATTTATTGGATTTATAAATCATTCACCAGTGTTAGGAATAAAATTTTAGAATAAAAAAGTAAAGTTAAGTGACACGTACTCTGCAAAATTTCTACACGCAGACAGTAAGATTTCTACACAATATTTCTACACGTAGACTGCAAGATTTCTACACAATTTCTATATGTACACGTACCTTGTAAGAGTTCTGCACGTAGGCTATAGGATTTCCACACTGAGCTATAGGATTTCATGATAAAGTACATATAAGGGAATAGGTGAAGCAAAATAGTAAGGGGCAGGGATAATGTATTTTGTTTAGGCGATCCTGATAAGATTGTAACCTCAGAGGAGGGGCCAAGGCGTCGGGATAGAATGTATAT